ATACGAGCTCTGTAGGAGCTGCAGAATAAGGAGTTCATACCATCTGGCCTTACCAGCCTGGAGTCTACCCTGCGCAACACCGAGGATTTCCAACAGTCCCAACACTCAGCTTTGTCTTCCGAGGCGATAAACTGTATCAACCTGGGATGACACTCAATCGTGAATTCCAAATTCTCGAATCTGCGGAGTACAAAGATCTATCTGCCACGGTGGTCAAACCCTTCGAGCCTTTCACATCTTCCGTTGTCCTGCTAGTTCAGCAGCTCTCCGACAACCAACCGTTCATTTTAAAGCTAGCCGATCGCAGGCTGGGTTATCGCAGCAGCAACGACGACGACGGGGAGACGATGCCATGAACATCCACCATCGACGATCACCTACGATGTGCCGTCCGTGATATTCAGGCAGGCGTAAAGCCTAACTGGTTCCAGCTCATACAGGATTTTGACAACCGGCCTGACATTGAGCTTTGGGAAGATTGGATGTGGGAGGTCTGCACTTGGTTTGGGAAGGTGTCTAGCTACGACACAGAACTTGCTGCGTATTGGCTTTTGCATGGACTCCAAGGCCGATACATCCCGCGTCTTTTTGGTGTTGTTCGTCTTCATATTATCCCCGACTCTATTCCTCTTCATCTCATCACGGATATCGTCCAGGGGCTCGTTCTCGACAACTGACAACGATCCGGACGACCAAAATGTCCTCGTCTACGATCAACTTTTAAGGAGGAAGGGATCAGACTAGAAGGGCGATAATACGGCTCGAGGTTTTGTTGGGTAAATCTGTCCTAGGCTAACCACTTGCACGGCAATATGAAATGACTCCAGACCTTAGTCCGACCATCTTCTGTATTCTCGAGGCCGTTTTTCATAGGTAGCCCACTTATAAGCTCACCGACCCGCGACCGGCGGTGGTTGACATTGTCAGCAGTGGCAAGACAGCTTCGCTTGCCACAAAAGTATGTCAACAATAGAAAATTTATTATGACTTTCTCATGATCTATTTTAGCGGCAAGAACTTAAGATTCGTCTGCAGCTCCAGGAACAAGACTCCGCGACATTTCGACCTCTGGTTGCTAAAATTGTCAAATGGCTGGAGCCTTTTACATCCTCCGTCGTTCTTCTCATTCAGCAGGTTTCCAACAACAAACAATTCATACTAAAGCTAAATGACGGCAGACTGGGCCATCGTCACAGGCTCAATATGGAGGATGGCGAACTCCCGTGGACGCCAGCTCTTGAAGAGCATCTACCAGCGGCCGTGCGGAACATACAACTCGGAACGATCACCAACTGGTTCGAACTAGTCGATGATTGGAAGAACCCGGCGTATCCCCGCACCAGAGACTGGGAGGACTGGATGTGGGAGATAGAGGCTTGGACTTCGAGAGTAGAAGAACCTTCTACGGTCTTGTCCATCTCCCTATTTCTCCCTCCCACCCTCTTCACCAGATCACGGATTACGTTCCCGGCACCGTCATCGAGTACATCCAAGGTGTGAGCATGGGCTTGCTCAAACCTGGCGTTGATATCCCTCGACCGGAGGCAGAAGCGCTTGCTGACCGTGTTATGGACGCCTTCAGCACGATAAAAGCGGAGAAATGTGTGATGCACAACGATATACACATCGACAATATTCTTCTGCGGGACTCGGACAGGTCCCCGGTCCATATTGACTTTGCATGGTCCTTGACGAGGAAACCGGGGATGAATGATCAGGAGTGAGAGGATTCGGTTGCAGGCACTCAGGATACGCGTTTTGTGCGTTGGGTTCTTATGAGTAAAGATCATGGAATGTGGAGAAGGAAGGAGACGCCACTGGTAATGTATTATTCTGCGCTATCATGGAACGAATACGTCGAGAACCAGCCCGAAGATTGCCGCAGACAGACGTTCGAGAGGGTTCCGGGTACGGATTGGGAAGGTGTAAGAGAAGAAGTACTGCAGTGGCGCGTCAAGCCGGGTATTCAGTGCAGAGATGACCAGGCGTATAAGGTGGGTTCACTTTAAAGTAATTCACAGATCATGCTGGCAGACCTCCAAGCCGTTCAGCGGGATACAAGGGTTCCAATCTTGATACGATGCAACCTTCGGTCGGGATGCCTTCTAGGATCCGTCGTTCCTGTATCCAGCCTTTGTCTCTTGTTTTTCCAATGGCGAGGAAAACGTGTGACGCCAGATCACCCATGATTCATGGAACGACCTATCGTCCAGTTTAGTTACGCGCCATGTCTACGGAATCACGCACCTCTCTCAATGAGATCATGTTTCCGGAGCGCAGCGACATACAACATGGATTGCAATGAAAAAGACGTACAGATTCCACACTTCACTATCATTACTTCAGCCACTAAAGTTCATTCTGACCGACAATCCTATCTGGCGCACGTTCAACAAGAATAGAATCTGGACCTAAATCAAGGACTATCAAGATAGAGGTTACCGTAGTTAAAGCCGGCTGTTTATATTCAGATGCGATACGAAGGGGGACACTCTTCTTGTCGAGAGGGCCAACGTCAGGATCGGAAGTAGTGGCGCATATTTTATACTGTAGAGTTCGCTCTGTCCAACATCGTTCTCAGGTTCTCCATTGCTAACAGAAATCAAGAAAAACCAGATGATCCAAAGGTGGAGCGTGCACACGATTTGTAATACTTTTCCTTATGTTCAATTTGCTTTTGAAACATTTATTTCACTTGCACTACGGGATCCTCTAAATCAGCCGAAGCTGCTCAACGCACTGGGTTCTAGAATGTATATAGACACGTTTCGGATTGCTTGTTCTGAAATATACAATACACAGAGAATTGGATTTTAACCAGCTACAGCCAGAATAAGTAAAGTAGGAATAGTCCGTCAAGCATCCTTGGCACCCATGATAATCCTATCTGGCACGGGCTCAACAGTAATAGAATCCTGACCCAAATGGCGAAAATGCGATCGTCTATGGCATTTCTTGCCAGCTCCAGCCCGATATTAGTGATAGATTCCGATGGCACACAGAGCCGTGTCACTGCAACGTCCAAACTAAGTCGTCATATTGTAAAATCTGATCGTTGTGTACGTCGTCCACACCGGCTTAGTCGTAGTCATATCCATGCCTGCAACGAACTCCCGGTCTTATTCTCCACTGATACACCTTCTCTCTGGCCCCTGGCCAATCCGTATCCAACACCCTCTCGAACGTGGCCCTGCGAAAGTCCTCAGGCACACTCTCCACGTATTCATTAAATGCCAAAGGCTTCGCATAGTGCCAGTCCGACATCTCATATGGCGTCACATTCCTCTTCCACCGCCCGTTCTCGGGATCCACAAGAAGCCTCCTCATGTAGCGCGTATCTGGGCCTCCATGGACATTCATTCTCCAATCCTCGTCACTAGTTCCAGCCTTCCTAATACTTGCCCCTCCGAAGTCAATGATGACAGCAGACCGATTCCCTTCTCGGACGACGACGTTCCGGGTGTGGATGTCACGGTGCAACAGGCAGTTCTCGGCCTCGATGGCACGGAGCCCCTCCATCACTGCGCTGGAAATCCTCTCGGCCTCCTGCTCGGAGACGTCGACACCCGGTCTGAGCTTGTCCATACTGACACCAGGGATATACTCGAAAACAAGTCCTAGAACGACGTCGGTGATGGGATGAAGAGGAGTAGACTCGGGGGTAATGCGAAGACGAACGACACCAAAAAGACGGGGAATGTATCGGCCTTGCAGTCGATGTAAAAGCTGATATGCAGCAAGCTCCTTCTTGTAGGAGCCCATCTTTCCATACCAAGTGGAGACCTCCCACATCCAATCTTCCCAATGCTCGAAATCGGGTCGATTATCAAAATCGGATATGAACTCGAACCAGTCAGGAATGGAGCCCGCCTGAATATCACGGACAGCACGTCGTAGGTGATCGTCGATGCAAGACGTCCATGGTACCGTATCCACGTCTTTTATGTTGCTGCGATACCCCAGCCTGCGGTCTGCCAGTTTTAGGATAACTTGTTCGTTATCAGAGTGTCGCTGAACTAGCAGAACGGCGGCACAGGTGAAAGGCTCGAAGCGCTTGATCACCGTGGCAGCTAGATCTTTGTACTCCGTAGATTCGTGAGCTTTGAATTTGAGATCAAGCGTCGTCCCAAGTCTATACAGATCATAGCCTCTGAAGATAAAGGTGAGGGTTAACTTAATTTCTAAGCATGGGCGGTTTTGCACGTACGTTTGTGGCAATGGTACTTGCTTTGCTGCCACCGACGACATCAAACGACGATAACGCGTAGCTACAGACAGATAAGAAGGCCTCGGAAAAACCACAACCTGCCGAGCTAGAGACTGAAATCGCAGTTTCATCTGTTAGTCGTAAGTTCCAAAGGGTGTTTGTAATCGTCTAGGCCCTTTTATATTAACCGAGTGGCAACCAATCATCATAGCCCTAATGGAGTCTAGGTCTTTGTTTCACAAGCTGAGACGTCTAACAAGAAAAAGTTGCGAATTCTGATGCTGTGACTGTCAGAGCCGGTGAGAGTGTCCAACAAGGCAACGTGGCCTTGTTGATTGCATCACGCTCCCGCGCCTAAGTTGGTCTTGGTAGGTCGGCATCATCATAATGCTCACAGTTGCGACTCGGACGACGGTCTTCTTCATCGACCTTTTCACACTTTTAGGGGACTGAAGAAGTCTCAGTGGTCAATAGTAGGGTGTACTCAGTGAGTCAGTCTGCCGCCTTCATCAGTGTGGCTCTAGAAATGACGAGTGAAGGTACTTTGATCTCAACTGTTGCACAAGCTATTATTATTTTCTTAACACGCTTGCAGGTTAGCCAACTTAAACGTCTACGGAAACAATGATAGCCAAATTTTCGGGGCTCAGCGGTCGTGGCTCAAAAGTGAAGATACGTGATTTATACAGGATTGTGACATGCATATTTTTGTTTAATGTATTAAGGTCAGTCCATCATTTTTTTTGGCATTCAATGATGGTCTTCCCCAACCATTGAAACAGAAGCCACTGTGGCCAAACTGTGGCTCAGGATTGAAATCTCGATTGTCTAGAATTTAGAACCGCATGTAACGCCGAATAACCGAATCTCGTGCAATAGTATCCATGTCACAGACGCAGCATAGTGCGTTGTGGGAAGGCCGGCTGCTAAGAAATTCTCCCTGAAATTCTTCTGGCTCAGACGAATTCAGGTATACCTTCCATGAGAATCAGCGGGTGTTCTTTTGAACTATAAGTTAAGGAACCAACATGCTCTCATGTGGCTACTTTACATTTCGACGGTCCCACCTCTCTCGACATCACAAGAGCAAATTTGTCAATTGACTTTCTCCATCTGTTTCTTATTTTAGGGTCTTTTTCTTCATATTGGACCCGGTCCTTTGTGATCAGTGTGATAGCTGCGTAGTGCTTAGAATGCGTTGGCTCTTGATGGCAAACACTTGGCAGAAGTCAGTAGTTTCCATGGTTTGCTCAAGACCGGGATTTGTCTCTTGACCGAGTCATAAATCTAGCGAGGGGGAGATGTCAAGCAGTGATTCCAGACCGTGTTGATGAATCACAGTCTAGGCTGCTAGACACCACGAGCCACAAAGAAAAGCACTCGCTGACAAGAGCTTCTATGACATCCAACAGTGGGTAGCTGAATTACCCTTTTTTTGATACGATCTTTTGGTTATAGTGTGAGAGCTTCATAAACATATTACATTCATTCATGCAGGAGATGGTGGATTGCTTCTTCAGCTCATTAGAATGACTGAAGATGAAAAGCTGCTTAAAGTTTCGTCGTTCACCGTTTGTTCGCATTGAATCCCTGGAGAATCCGGGAAATTCTCTGATCAAAAGACAACCTAATGCTGCAGCTGCGCGGACAATAGATCGACAATGTGACTCTATCTGTGGTTTGACTTGAGAATAAGAAGAATAAGGTTCGACCTGTTTCCCAGCTCTCATTCATTCATAGCTTGAATTTCGAAATCACCTTTCTCTCCCCAAAACAAGGCTTCCGTAATAGTGCTTCATGTGAAAGGGTTCGATGGAACTCCGTCCAAGTAAAAGGAGTAATAATATCTCCACAGATTGAGCAAACTGTGCTGTACTTACAACCTTCGAAGAAAATTTCATCCCATTCTGGTTAGAGTCCATTTAATTGAAGGCCTTCACGACAGAATCACGGGAGGATCATAAGATGATGAAAAGAAATCGAACCCAATACACCAGATTGAACGTAGTTGCCCTGGAACCCAATCATCGGTTTTCGCGCTCTGTCCGCAGTGAATCCTTGGGGGCCATGTGCCAGGTTGAGATTTCTGATAAGCGCCACAGATATGGAGTAAAAAGAAACGAGTGTCGGCTTGTAAACAGCGGGAAGGTACCGAAATCACGTTCGGTTCTTACGGGTTTTGATTGTGCCCAACATGCACAGGAAGGAAAAGGAACAACCCTTCAAGTTGACAGCGCTGCGCCGGACTGGAAAGCAGAGAAATGAGATCTAACGTCGAGCAAACATATTGTTAACACGCTGTAGAGCTGAAGGGCAAGACGATAATAGCTGCGATACAAGCCAAATTTCTGCACGCGGCAACAGCTCTATTTAGTGCCACAGGGGCCAATGACACCGGTTCGAGTTACCGTTCGTTTAGAGGCGAGAAATTGACCGTAATAGGAAGACAAACATCGGGGTATTTTTCTGCGGACAGCCGTCCTCCCGCGAGGGCGTAAACCAGGTGGAAATCCCTTCATTGCACTTGAGGACTGGTGTCGGAACGTCGCTGGACTAGAAGGACGACAGTGCGGACCAAATGGGTTGTTAAAGCCAGCCATAGATTGATCGCAAGAGAGTTGGTCTTGAACTGGACGTCGATTTGAATCCCAGGTATAGTTGGCAAGGGATTGCTGCAATTCGCCTGCGCCTAGCTCTTATCTTTGGCGAAAGCATTTGCTCGTCGTCCGGTGCGGTTTCCAGATACAAGATGGGCAGGGTCCCGACCTAGCGTGGGTTGATACCAAGGCTGACAACGAACACCTGGCTTGATACGCCATTGGAACATTTGCTCTCTCGCCCCCTCCCAATCCGTACCCAACACTCTGTCAAAAGTCGCCCTGCTAAATCCTCAGCCATGCTTTTAACATATTTGTTAAATGCCTAAGGCCTCTTGTAGTCTGATAACTCATGCGGCATGAAGTCCGTTTCCAATTTCCGCTCTCAGGATCCACCAGAAGCCTTCCCATGTACCGCGTATCTGGACCTCCATGGACGACCACATTCCACCGTTCATCACTAGTCCCAGGTTGCCGGATGTGTGCCAGTCCAAAATCGATAATGACGGCAGACAGGCTCCCCTCTCACAGAACGACATTCCTCGTGTGGGGATCGTGATGAACCACGCAGTTCTCCGTCTCGATGGCACGCAGAGCGTCCCGAGCAGGAAGCGGAGGGGATCTCCAACGAAGTACTGGACGCTCTGCGTGCCATCGCCCGGTCTGAGCTTGTCCATGCTAACACCCGGGATATACTCCAGAACAAGCCCTTGGGCGATATCCGTGATAGGATGAGGAGCGCTATTGTTAGACAGTTTGAATTGCAAAGACATATTGCGGATACTTTATTCTGGGACAAGCCTTTGTACCTGACATCCTAAGTTATCGCCGACTTGGTAAGGAAAACTGTTTGAGAACATTCGCTAACTCATCCACTTTGACAGGATTTGTTTGGTGACGAAGCAGTAATGAGTATTCACCATTCGCTGTCGCATCTCGCAATGATAGCTGGCAGGGGGGGACAGGATATATTTCCAGGTATTCGTACAGGCGACTCGAGATAGGGTAGGAAAGAATTCGTCTGGATCAGGTAGAGTTTTGCTGCGGAAGCATAGGAAATAAGCTTGTACGACACACCTATATCGCGTTCCAGCGTCGAGCACTATTAGCGTCAAAGATTGAATATAGACACAGTCAAATCCTCGCGGTACCGGTGTTATGCTTTGAAACAACAAGGTTGATACAAGGTCATCTTTCTTGTATTGTTATGGGCACAATCCCTCTATCCCGGGAATCAACATCATACGAATGTCAATGGATGTGCATCTTGCTTGCTAACGATGACTTCAAGGTCCACTGCTTGGATCTCCTTCCGAAGTCGCTCTGCCAGAACAGCAAGATACCTGCGTTCCGTATTCGTGTGGCCGCCTATGAACAGAACGATTACAAGGGCGTGTTTATCACTTGGATTGTGAGCACTTACACAAAAGAACGTGCTTCCCGGCAGCGACTGATGCTAATACTTCATGCTGTCGTCGACGCGTCAGTGCGCTGGTAGTAACCAGAATATGAAAGAAAGACAAACATGCGACATCTCCCCAGTGAAATAAACATCCGCATCGCGTCCAACAAGCATAGATCCTCCTGACCCAGCGCATATCGCCACCGTCCGAATGTCACTAAGTACGGCGGAGGGATATGCTACTTGAACTGAGTGCATACATCAGCCAGCGAAAACGGCAACCAAGTAACAGAAATTTTTTTCACCTTGCGATAGGCCAAGATGTCGCTTCACCCTATCCACCAGCTCTTTCACCGACACTGGTTCATCTAGAAAGACCAACCGTCCTTCCGCACCCTCGCTCTTCCCACTCGTATCAAGTTTCTCGCCTACCAAGGCGCTGATTTGGCCAGGACCAAGCCCTTTGGCGAGCCAGTCATTCACGCCTCCCCAGACAGAGTCCAAAGACGTATGTGGAGAGAAAACCGAGATGCCTTCAACTGCGCAGCGGAGAAGAGAAGATTGCAGAGGGTTCGTGAGGGTCAGTGATTGAAGAGGCTTAAATATTGGCGGATGGTACGAGACGATGACCGGAGCCTTGAGTGTGATGGATTCCTCAACGACCGAGGGAGTGAGGCTGGAGAACGTTGAGCATTGAACAAGATGCTGTCGAGAACGTACTCGATGGTGAGTAGGACGCGATTGATGCCTTGTAGTTTGTGCGAAGGGGACTCTGGTGACGCCCGTAAGACACGAGTCAATCATCACGGATTCAACAAAGGATTCTACCGAGTAACAGTCCGACCTTTAACGTTGTCAACGAACGTGAACACGAGAACAAGTCGAAAATTAAAGTTCTTACATTGTCCCATTTTTCTGCTAGCCGAAGAGGTGCAATATTCTCCATGGCCTTGCATACGGTCTTGACGAAAGGAATAGACATCGAGGTACTCAGGAAGTGTCTTGACGTGAGCTTGAACTCGAGAGACTGTCCGGAAATTTTCTCAGGTGGTGGTGGTAATGATGAGAACCCGAGGCGGTCCTACTTGCATCCCACGTGGCCTTTCTTGGAGAGCGACTACGACATCCTGGCAATGGACGACCAACAAAAAGTTGCGTTCCGCATGGCGTGCCACATCTTCCCTTGATTCGCATCGGCGCCACTGACTGCTCTCCGACGTATATCCATATGTTCCGGTATCTAACACGATTCGGAGGTACAAGACGCGGTTAGCGTTGGACTTCCATCGCGCCAATACAAAGGTTCGCCGTTCAGTGGAAGCTGTTTGAAAGACCATTACTTATCTGCCTTGCAGCGGCGATGACTTGTATCTACCCGGAACAAAGCTTCACCTACAATTCCAAGCGAACGGCTGCACAGCGTTCAAGCCTCTTACTGCGACAGTCATTAAGCGCTTCCAGCCATCCACCTGTTCAGTCATTCTTCTCGTTTAGCACCCGTCTGACAGCCAGCTATTCATCCTCACGCTGGCCGATCGCAGACTGGGATATCGCAGTGCAGGGATCGGCTCGAACATACCATGGGCATCAGCTATCGAAGCTGATCTACGACGTGCCGTGTGTGACATCCAGTCCGGGGCCATAGCCAACTGTTTCAAGCTCATACGAGACTACTGCAATCCAGACTGGCCTAAAAGGAAGGATTGGGAGGATCGGATGTGGGAAATCTCTGCCTGGCTGTGGAAATCGCACGATCACGATACAGAGCTAGCGGCGTATCATCTTTTGTGCCGTCTGCAAGGAACTATCATCCCTCGCCTGCACGGTGTCGTTCGTCTTCCCATTGCCTACACGACCCTCCACCCCATCATCGATACTATTCGAAGCCTTGCTTTGGAGTACATACCCGGCTCGAACATCGAACCAATACCTGGTTGACGTGTCCCGAGAAGGTGCTGAGACCATCTCCAGCAAGGTGCTGGACGCGTTCCGCGCCATCGAGGCAGAGAACTGTGTACTCGACAACGATATTCACATCGGCAACGTCGTTTTGCGGGACTCGGACAGATCTCCAGTCATCAATGACTTTGGACGTGCATACGTCAGGGAGCCCGGTTGTCCTGACCGTGAGTGGAGGGGCAATGTTGAGGGAGGTGCTGACACACAGTTTATGAGGAGAGAGCTGCTGGATCCGGAAAATGGAGGCTGGAAGAAGAATGTCACGTCATTCGTGATGCCAGACTACCACTACGACAAGCCTGTGGACTTCAAAAAAGTTTGGATGAATAGCGAAGGAACGCCGACTCGCTGTGACTCGTGAATCCCTGAACAAGTCGCCGGACCGTTCCTCGGGGAATTTGGAAGCCACGTGTCACACGAAAATTGGAGGATTCCGACGCATTACTGCAGCCTGAGTACCGAGCCTGAGTATGCTTCTGTACGCTCTCGCAAGTTTTCAGTCATGCGCCTCAGCGCAGCAAAAAGTGGACTAGAGTTAAGGTCATTTGATGGCATCGTTCCTACTTGCTTACATGTAAAAGGGCAAACATTCCGGGCCGAGAAAGCTACTTACATTCAAGTTCGACCCTCACTATTGTCATCTACTACTAACAAATGAAATGACTCCAGCCTTTGACCCGACAGTCCTCCGCATTTTCAAGGTCATCTTTACGCAAAAATTTGTCCGTATCCTCGCCTACTTGCGGTCGACTCTTTGCATCGTCGACGATGGCAAATCAAGCGCAGCCACGAACGTAAGTGGGTTTGAAGCTAGTCATTGAATATGACAATACTCACCGTTATCATCAGAGACGACGACTTATATCTTCCCGGATCGAAACTCCAGTTCAAGTTCCAAGCTCAAGGGTCCACAGCATTCAAAGATCTGGCTGCTACCGTTGTCAAACACTTTGAGCCTCCCACTTGTTCTGTCGTTCTTCTAGTAAAGCGACCTGAACACAGTCAACCATATATCGTGAAACAGGCTGATCGCAGATTAGGCTATCGAAACGGCCTAAAAACGAGCGTGCCATGGTCATCTAAACTCGAAGACAATCTACGACAGGCCGTCCGCAAAGTTTATGCGGGAGCAGTACCCAACTGGTTTGAGCTCATCCATGATCGTGAAAAACGACCTGATCAGGACGATTGGGAGGATTGGATGTGGGAGGTCTCTACATGGAATCGCAAATTGACCATAGGGAACTCTGTGCATATCACCTTCTGCACCGTTTGCAAGGGAGTTACATTCCACGGTTTTTTTGCGTCGTTCATTTTCCCATTGCTTCCCATTCTACCCCTCTTCATCCCATAACCGATCTCGTCCAAGGTCTCGCGCTGGAGTATATACCCGGCGTTAGCATGGAAAATCTTAAGCTCGGCATCGACGTCTCCCTATGTGAAGCAGAGAACATCTCCAGTAAGGTGTTGGATGCCTTCCATGCGATTGAGGCGGAGGACTGCGCTCTCCGTCGTAAAGGCGGATTCTAAGGGTAGAGGGCGTTTTCGCAGGCCTCTGCGTGGCTATCGAGGTACTCACAATCTCTGTCAATATGGAGATATGGAGCTCTGCATGTCCGTGAAGAGGGGTTGCTGGTGCCATCTCTGTCTCAGTGTCGACCCTCGGCTGATGCTGATTCATGAGAGACATTGGCTCCAGTGTCTCTTCTTCATCTTCACCTTCATCCCACATCCCTAGGTGAGATGAGCTCCACTCTCTCACTGTCATTCAACTATGACTGCCAATCCCAAGCATCAAGGCTCTGCCTCTTCTCTCATCTCATAAATGGCTCATTCAAATAGTCTCTCACATCTAACTAAATATCATCTAGTATTACCATGCCATTACTATACAAGTCACTAGCAATTGTTCCTGTCTGATCCTTTGTCTCTCAAATCTATTATTTTTATTTATGACCTTGAATCTATCATTTGATGTTGAAAGTGTCACCACATTGGCAAAGTGCTGCAAAGATCTCATTGAAGACTGTATTAGAGGTACCATCAACATTCTTGACTTTGCAGATAAACTTCATCAGCTTGGCCTTTCATCTCAGGCCACCAGAGACTATATCAAACTTCTGCAGAAACAAATCAAGCAAGCTGGCCTATGGAGCTCAACTGTTGCACCCTCTAACATATAAGACAATGATCAAGAAGATGCTGAAGTGACAGATGACAGAGAGGCCACTCTGTTGAGCAGTGGACTGGGGAACCTGGAAGGACATGGCTGTGAGACTTTACAGCAATGTGAGTGCAGCAAGGGTTGGCCTGGAACAACAAAATAGATGTATCTACTGTGAATTAGTAAGGTATAGTATAAGTAGGCATAAGATACTCACATCTTAGTGGGTGGTAAGTCACTAAGATGTGCAGCTGTGTAAATGGTGAAAATTGTGAGAACTGGTAACTAATTTAGAGTCTGTACAACTGTACCTGCAGTCATAGCTTATACTCTCAACACACTTCTCTAGGCTTGTCTCAGATGGAGATTGATGAGTATTAAAAAAAGTAAGCTGATAAATCCAAAGCCAATGCAGAACAGTGCCAGGACACCAGAGCTCATGTGGTTGAAGAAGCAGCCTGGACAACTCTCTGCTCAAAGCTTCAATTCCTTCATCAAACACCAACCACAAATGAATCTCAGATCTCCATTGCAGCTATACTTGCTGGCATTCTGAGGCTTGATGACACTGTCTCACTAAAGACTGCTTCTATTTTCTCAATGGTTCTCACTCAATCTCCTCATCTGGGATCTATCATTGCCACTGGAATCTCAGACCCTCATCTTGCCAAGTTGTTCTGCCTCAGACAAGTCTATGCCATTGAAAAGTCACTCAACAACCTCATTGTAGTTCTTCAGATTCAGTTTCTTGTGAAACCCATTGCTCAGTCATTCTGGTGCCTCATCATTCAGAATCAATATATTGACTTTTTAAAACTTTTGCCTTAATGAACCAAGGATACAACAACAATGAGGAGGCAAAAGAGCTTATGACAGGATATGCCATTGTTAAGAAAGATGTTTCATCAGCTAAGAAGCCATCAGGATATAATCTGACTGATGCCTGAGCAAGAAGTGTTTAAGTTCTTTACCCACACCTTAGGTGTTATGATTTTCCTTATTTCTTTTTGTCTTAACCCCTATTTGTGCTTAGTCAGAGCATTTAACCCAGTGCTTAAGACTATGGGACAGACTTAGTCAGCACAACAAGCCTAGTTGGTCATTGTCTTTTGATACAACAGTGATGCCCAATGATGCACAATGAACTTTTTGTAGATAATAATGATATCCAAGAACAAAGAATGTTACAATGGACAACAACATAATAGGTAGCTTTACTTATAGTCAAAACTCCTGTAGTATATAAGTAGGATGGCTTTCACTGGTATATCTCCAGCTTTGAGCTAAAGTTTATTCATCTCATTCTACTTCTGAGCTATACTTGCAAAGGCCTTGAAGCACTTGGTTAACATAACACAACAAGTGAACTCTAGCATAAAGGTTCAAAAGTGAAACCACACTAGTTTATCATGTGTTTAGACCACATGTCACTTGAGTCTAACAATTAGCTCAAAGCTTTTGCTTCCCTTTTTTTATGCATAATAAGCATGAAGAAAACCAAATGCCACTATCATAGACTAATACCCCTAATCTTACTGATGGTTTCTTTAAACTTCTAGCTTCTATCATTAGAATGCTACTCAGACTTCTTGCTATTATCCAACTTTGTTGAGGACGTCAATCAGTCACAGCTTGGATCATCAGACACTACCAAGCTTTTCAATAGATACAATAGGTTTTATGAAATGTCATCCCTCATCTCCTCCATGACATCCCTGTATCTGCCCAAGTCTCTTTCCAGCCTCAGGTTAGAACTATACCCAAAGCTAGGCCTAGCAGCTTGCATTCAGGGGATATTCAGGAGAAAGAAAGATATGAATACCCAATCAGACAGCAGAAACTACAACCCTTGCCTCACAGGGTTCTGAAACCCATAGATCCTGTCCTCCATCTCTGACCACAAAGATGAGAACCTTTCTGAGGGCTTCTTTGATGACTCACCATCTCCTGACCCTTCTACCACTCTGAGAGAGCCTGGCATTAGAGAACATGCTTGGAACTCTCTTGATGCCCCTTGGATAGCTTTAAGACTTCAAAGTGTTTCATCAAACTCAGGCCATGACTCTCTCTATACCACACTCACTAAAAGCTCTGTCTCATTGGTCCACACTGACTATGGTAGTTATGAGGCCACCAGTCTCTGGTCAAACAATAAAGAGCCATATAAGCCATGGACTCAGACCCTCACAGCTGGGCTTGACAAGAGTGGAAGGATTCACATCCAACCTTACACAAGGGGGAGCCTCCAACATTACAGCCCAGAAAGAATCAACAATAGTAGCACAGCCA